CCCGCCCGCCCGACCCGACCCGCCCGTCAGGGCCCACCCGCCCGACCCGACTCGACCCGCCCGTCAGGGTTCGCACGCCCCGGCCCCCCCGTTAGGGCACACTTTCCAACTCGCTTGTGCACTATACTTTGATGTCCCGCCCGCCCGACCCGACCCGCCCGTTCGGGTTTGTCCGCCCAGCCCGACTCGACCAGCCCCTCAGGGTTCGCCCGCCCGACCCGACCCGCCCGTTAGGGGGGCACACGCGTGCCAACTCGATTGCGCACAATACTTGAATGTCCCGCCCGCCCCGCCCGTCAAAGCCCGCCCGCCTGACCCGACCCGACCCGCCCGTTGAGGTCCGCCCGCCCGGCCCGACCCGCCCGTCAGGGTACACGCGTGTCAACTCGATGGTGCACCATACTTTGTCCCGCCTGCCGGACCCGACCCGCCCGTTGAGGTCCATCCGCTCGACTCGCCCCGCCCGTTAGGGCAGTCGCGTGCCACCTCGATCGCACATTATGATTTAACGTCCCGCCCGCCCGACTCGTTCCGCTCGGCAGGGTCCGCCCACCCGTCCCGATGCGACCCGCCCGTTAGGGTCCCTCGTCCGACCCGGCCCGCCCGCTTGGGCACACGAGTGCCATCTCGATTGCGTACCAAGCTTTAATGCCCCGCCCGCTCGACCCGACCCGCCCGTTAGCATCCGCCCGCCCGACCCGACCCGACCGCCCGTAAGGGCCCAGGAGGAGGAGGAAGAGACGAGGATGCAAACCGAGCGACTTCACATTCGAGCGGTTTTCCAGTCGAGCGAATTTTCATCCGAACGAGTTGTGGTGTCCGGGGGCTACAGGCGGTGGACCAAGCGAGCCACCAGTATTCGGCCGAGCGAATACGGACCGAGCGAATGCAAACGGAGCGAATTAAACCCCGAACGAGTTTTCACTCCGAGCGAGTTTTCATCCGAACGAGTTCTGGCCTCGGGGACTGGATCTGGTGTCCCAGGTGGTGACAGGGCATCGACCGAGCGAGTTCCAACCAAGTGAAACCCGAACGAATTTAGATTCGAGCGAGTTGTGGCCTCCGGGACTGGATCTGGTGTCCCAGACGGCGACCAGGCTTCGACCGAGCGAGTTCCGACCGAGCGAAATTGAACCAGAGCGAACTTAGATTCGGGCGAGTCTTCACCCCAAGCGGATTCCCATCCGAGCGAGCTGTGGCCTCCGGGACTGGTTCAGGTGTCCAGGACCAGTTCTGGTGTCCCAGGCGGCGACCAGGCATCGACCGAGCGAGTTCCACCCGAGTTCAACGAAGACCTGTGGTTAGTCAGTGTAGATCTGCGCAACGCTTTTGACAGGGTTGAGCAGCCGGCGCTGTTCCGCGCTCTCCAAGCGCAGGGATTCCCCTGTGGATACTGCCAGATATTGAGAACCTTGCACAAATCTCAAACTGGTGTTTTGGGTGATGATTTCCGCTTTCCTATCACTCGGGGCGTCAGGCAAGGCGACGTACTATCACCGCTCTCGTTCAACAGTACCCCGGAAGCTGCGATCCTCGAGTGGAAGGCGAAGCTGAACGACCATGGCCTGGCTAATTTGTTCTGACGGAACCGCGGGGCGTCTGTCGAACATCCGTTTTGCAGACGATTTGCTTTTGTTCGCCAGAAGCATGGAGGAGGCCGTGGACATGCTGGAGGCTCACGCAGACGCTTCGCAATTATGGATAGGAGCTCAACGTGAAGAAAACGAAGATGTTGTTTCGCGACGCTCACGGAGAACGACACTGTTCTGATAGAAACTTCCGATGGGCTTGTGGAGCTTGCGGCTGCGAACAGAGCCCAGAAATACCTCGGGAGGGCGTGGCCGGGCAACCTCCGACAACGCGGACAAGCTACTGTCGACCATCACGTTTGCTGCGCATGGTTGAAATTCCGTTCTCTGCAGACTTCGCTGATAAACAAGCACGTCGGCATCAAGCTGCACCTGAAATGTTTCAACGCGACCGTCACGCCTACCATGGTATACGGGCGGGAGACTTGTGCGTTGGACCAGAAGCAGTTGGACTGTCTAGACATCACGCAGAGGAAGATGCTCCGGAGAATCGTCGGCTGGGTGTTCGAGGACACCGATTCGTGGGAGGATGCTGGCCGCAGAATGAAGCAGAGGCTTGAATCTGCTAGGCGCTTGCACACTATTCCAGATTGGTCTTCTGTCGTATCAAAGCGCAAGAAGCATCTGATGAATCGTCTGATGTCCCACCACTCTCCGTCGCTGCCTAGGCTAGCGCACGCTTGGTCACCTACTGCATATGCGGCGCTGAACAACAGCCGGCCGCATCGTGCAAGAGACCGGCCGCGGCGTCGTTGGTTTGACGGCGTGCTGCTTGACGGCGCACATTTCTTTCACCCGAGATCTGCACAGGGCCGAAGTGTTCGAGCGGGCGCAACGCAACGCAACGATCATAAGTTCGAGCGAATTTTCACTCCGAGCGGAATGAAACCGAGCGAAATTAAACGAGCGAAATTAATTCGAGCGAAACAAATTTGAATCCCCCAAACGGCCCAACATGGCTCCAAAACGACCCAAGAGTCGCCCAAGACGGCCCCAGACGCCTCCAAGTCGGCTCCAAGAGGGGGCCCCGACGGGGGAGCCGAATGTACATGTCGAGCTCTCGGCCCCAGCAGGCCCCCAGGAGGCCCCCAGGAGGCCCCCAAGAGGCCGCCAAGAGCCCCCGAGAGGCCCCAAAGAGGCCGCCAGGAAGGCCTAAGTGGTCCCCAAGAGGCTCCCAAGAGGCCCCCCCGAGAGCGCCCCCAAGGGACCCCAAGAAGCATGCCTGAGGACTCCGACCCACAATCCAGGCGCGGTGGCGGGATGGGCCGAGGGCCATTCGATCCGCCGCCCCCTGTTGCTTGCAACAGGGGTGCCTGGCATGCCGAACTATATGGCTTCTGGATTTGGTTTTTTTTCCAAAAGAACTCCCCCTGGGGCTTCGGCCCGTCCCGCCGGCCACCCGGAAAGGATCTCAAAACGCGTCCGTCGTGCCTCTGTTTCCTCCAGTTGGCCCAAGATGGCGTCCAAGACGGCAAGATGGCCCAGGATGGTCTCCAAGATATCTCCAAGACGGCCCAAGATGGCATCCAAGACGGCAAAGATGACCGCAAGATGCCTCCAAGACGGCCCAAGATGTACCCAAGAGGGTCTACGACGGCCCGACAGGCCCGCAAGAGGCCTCCAAGACGGCCCAAGAGCCCTCCAAGACGTCCTCCAGGAAGGCCCGAAAGGGCCAAAGTATTGATTTTCCTTTGGTTTTTGAAGGATTTTGGCATTTGCGCCTTTTCGGCTTTCCGACGGCCCAAGACGGCCCAAGAGGCCCCCAAGATCGCCCAAGAGACCCTCAGAAGGGCCCTTTGACGGCCCAGGTGGCCTCCAAGATGGCTCCAAGAGGGCCCCAAGACGGCCCAAGAGGCCTCCAACACGCCCAAGATGGCCTCCAAGACGCCCAAGATGGCCTCCAAGACGGCCCCAAAGCGCCCCAAGAGGGCCCCAAGTCGGCCCAGAAAGGCTCCGCGAACGGCTTCCGACGGCGTCAGACGGGCCAGGAGCCCACCAAGATGGCCGAAGTTGGCTCGAAGCTGGCCCAAGACGGCCCAAGAGGCCCTCAAGATGGCCTCCAGGAAGGCCAGATGAGGCCCCAAACATTGATGTCCCTAAGGTTTTTTTTGACGGATTTTGTCATTTGCTTCTTTTCGGCCTTCCGACGGCCCGAGACGGCCCAAGGGCCCCCAAAGATCGCCCAAAGATCGCCCAAGTGGCCTCCTTTGTGGCCCCAGAACGGCCCACGAGGGCCACAATACTTCCCCAAGAGGCCCCCAAGACGGCACAGGAGGCCTTTAAGACGCCCAAGATGGGCCTCCAAGACGGCCCTGGAGCATTCCAAGAGGGCCCGAGTCGGCCCATCGAGGTCCCCCGAACGGCTTCCGACGGCGTCAGACGGACCAGGAGCCCACCAAGACGGCCGAACATTGCCCAAAGATGGCCCAAGACGGCCCAAGAGGTCTTCAAGAGGCCTTCAAGAGGGCCCAGGAAGGCCCGAAAAGGCCAAAATCATTGATTTCCTCTGGGTTTTTGAAGGATTGTGGCATTTGTTTTTTTTCTGCCTTCCGACGGCCCGAGACGGCCAAGTGCCCCCAAAGATCGCCCAAGAGGCCCAAGACACGGCCCCAAGAGGCCCCCAAGACGGCCCAAGAGGCCTCCAAGACGCTCAGGATAGCCTCCAAGACGGCCCAAGAGCCCTCCAAGACGTCCTCCAAGAAGGCCCGAAAGGATCAAAATGGCCTCCAGACGGCGAAGATGACCTTCAAGATGCCCACGTGCTCCCCGAAGGCTTTCCAAACCGATTCGGGGAACACATGGTCCGATAGCTTGGCAGGTATGGTCTCAACGTTCGGCCACATAATTAGGCGCTTCCAAAAAGGCAGGGGGCAGCTGTGATTCGCCGTAGGCGTCTTCGATAGTTCCACCCTCCAGGCCTGTTGACCTGTCGGGGCTGCTCGAAAGACCTCGGCAGTCCTCTGACATCGAAAAGAACTCCCGGCGCCCTGGTGCTATTTCCTTGGCCTCCTGGAAGGTCAGGGCTCTCTCGCTTCTCCGCACGGCCGCGCGGCCGCGGCGCGGCACGCAGCCGCGCGTATCCACCGCGCCGCGCGGGCCACGCCGCTGTCGCGGGGCGCGCGGCTGTCGTCGGCGGGAGGGCCTCGAAGCCCTCACCGGCGCAGCTGGACCTGCTCGTCGTGCTCGGCCGCCTCGTCCAGGCCTGAGCTGGATCGAGTCGCGGAATCGAGCCGGATCGCCAGCGAATCGTCGCGAATCGAATCGAAAGCGGCGGGCCGCGCCTGGGTCTGGCTGGCATCGGCCGATGCTGGTGAACCGGCGATTCGAATCGGATCATGGGCGGCCCTGCCTCGTTCGTCGGGAGGTTGAAGCCTACATGGGTTACCCCACAGGCAGACGCCGAAGCCCTGCTCACGACGCCAACCCGGGGGACGTGTACGCGAGGAAGGAGCTGATCTGCTTCTGCAGCTCCAGGTCGCCCACCTTCTCCCCGCTTCCCCCCATTCACTGGCCCGGGTCGCTGGGCCCGGGAAGCGTGTGGTTCCTTGGAACGCGCTCGGGCCGCGCGAGCGAGCATTCACAACGGCTTCTGGCGTTGAAGTAATGCTCTGAATTTCCTGAAGACCACAACACGCCCTGAGACCCGACGTCACGACAAAATTCAACATCGCGAAAAATCGCGACCAGAGCGCTAGACCCCCTCTTGCTGCTGCATTTGTCGAGCCAGATCGACCTGTGATGGGCCGGGGACCCGAAGACAGCAGAAACCGCCCAGTGCGAAAAGAATGCAGCGCCTAGATCTCGGGGGACGAAACGTTCACAATGGTTTCCTGCGCTCGAATAATACTGGAAACCTCCTGGAAGACCGCAATAGGCGACGGTCTCGCCCTTCCCCTCCCACTTCCCAGATATGCGACGTCTGGATGTAATTCAGTATGGGGTCCCAGGAAGATGCGACACTTCCCCCGGGACCGATTTTCCGAGTCGTTCTTTCACGCTCCCGGGGCCCGGCGAGGGCTCCCAGAGCTGCCCCCCCCCGCTGTGATTTTCTCACTGCGCGAGCATGTCTGGGACTCCTCCTCGTCCTCTTCCTGGTCGCCTACCTTCTGTGCCCGTGTGCTGATGTGCTCGTTGGGGAAAAAATAGGAACATCGCCGGATATCACGACCAGAGCTCTAGACCCCATCTTTATTCTGCATGTTTCGAGCCAGATCGATCTGTGATGATCCCAGGGTCCGAAGCCAGGCGAAAATACCTGACGTGATCAAGCTGCAACGCCCAAACCTCAAGGAATGGATGACGGTCTCCCCTCCATCCCACTCCATCCCCCTCCTCCTCCCCCGACACCGACGCTATCTTGTTGCACGGTAAGGCACTTGAGGTGAAGCAGTATCTGATGAAGCCAGCTACCGAAGGTGGATTTGGGGCTCAGGAGTGCGATCTTACACGAGAGCTGGAGGGACGTTTCGACGCGAGACACGATGGGGACGAAGCTACACGCACAGACCAGCAGAGATATGACGCGATGCAGCTCTCGGATCTCACCCAAGCACAGAAAGACCTGACGGGCATCATTACCCAACTACGACGCTCTCCCCAAAGGAGGGCAACACCTCGGTGGTCCATGCCTTCGGAGCTACGGTTGATTCTCTTGGATGAAGCGCAATGGGAAAAAATATACACGAGGCGGGCTCGGCGGCGATACCAAACCAGCTACGGCGCAGGGTTGCAACGAGCGGTTCCTGGATATTCTGGCCAGCTTCAGACGGACGATGACGACCCCTCTGCTTTTCGACATATCCTCATGCGTTGGTCTTGACAAGCGCACGGGGAAGATACGGCCCGCGGGCCAAAGGTGGATCCATCTCTTCTGCCCAATCGGCAAGGCTTGGAATGCATATCTATGGCATCGAGGACGCAAAGTTCGACCTTCTCTCCCTTACTACTGTCACGGATTTGCGCGACAGCGACGACGGCAGGACGCTAGTACAGTGCAGGCTTGCGTTTCGTGGCGACTTCAACGCCAAGGTGTGCCTCACGCGATTGTGAATGAGGATGCCACGAACGCTTTCGCCAGTATAGAAAGGGACACCATCTTAGAGACTACCGGGGACTTGTACGATCCAGGGGACCTCAGATCCCAACTTACTCGGACTATCCAGGGGGCCTTTCAGATCGAAACTCCTTCAGGACCAGTAGCTCTCAGACCTACAACAGGGGAGATGATGGGACACCCTAACCCTGCGAGAGTCTTCCCGTACTGCTACCAGAAGGGGATCGAGCCGTTCCTGTCGTATCGTAATTATACTATCTCGGCCCAGTACGCGGTCGCACACGAACCCGACGAGATGACGACGGACGTGGGGATCACGATCTACGCCGACGACATTACGAAGTGTGTGATTCCAGGTTGGGGCCCACCACCACACCCTGGGGGGGGAGAAGCAGCACATTTACTAGCTCGATCGTCCTCCAGCAGCAGACGTCGTTCTTTGCACTTTGAGGCTTTATGTGTTCGACTCAATAATGATAAACGGGCGACGCTTGCAAAAATCGTCGGGACGGGCTGCGTTGTACAACGGAGGTTCCTTCACTCGGACTCCATTCCCTACCCTGGGCAGTGTGGCATGTTCATGAGAATTCTAGGCGGTTGGCTCACTACCTCTGGCTCTCTACAAGTTGAGCGAGCTAAACGACTAAGAGCGGGACGAACAGGATTAGGACTGATATCGAACTTTCTAGTGCACAACGCGACGACCAGCATCAAACGAATGCCGAGTACTGCTGTTGTGCAGTCTGCTTTGCTTTCGGAAATGGAAGGTCGTATTCCAGATGAATCTTACACTAAAGCTTCGGATCAGATCGTACCCCGTGCTATGCGACGGGGACTGGGGATTCGCGGCCTTTCGGAACACGAGAGTGGGGAGATGCGCAGATGGTCTTCGCAACGGTTGTGGTTCTTTTTGGCGCATCCCCCCACAGCTCAGGAACTGCAGGTGCGACGCTTGAAGTGGTACAAGAGTTGGGCGCAGTTTCCATCTTGTCACCGACAGGTACGAGCAGCGATTCTGGGAGGAATGGGGGACGGCGACGCGATCGACGAGCACTGGAACCTCACCCCCCAAGCGAACCCTTGGGCCCAGCAGGTGTTTCACGACTTGAAGTTCGGGCACGAAATCTCAGAAGAATTTCAGGGCCTGGTCCCCTCGGAGTTTCCACTTTTGCGTTTGTTGTCTTGCGACGACTACTCGAAGTGGGTGGACATCGATTTCAAGCTCATCCGAGCGAGCTTCTTCTCACACTCCATCGTACCGCCAACCGACTCGAACACGCACGACGAGACGGCACAGGTTGGGGGCGAGGAGGAGGACGAACGACCGAGGCCCTACGAATGTAAGATGAGCGATGCAGAAGGTAGAGTTTGCGGTGAGCTGTTTCCCACGATGAAACATTTACTTCTACACGCTGGACGGGTCCATCGGGTTCGGAACGAAGCCTCTGTGTTGACCGTGACCAATCAATGCTTCAGATGTCTTCAAACCCTCAGTACAAGGGCGAACGCGCAGAAGCACGTTATGAGATCGTATCAGAAGAACGTCTGTTACCACGGTAGAAGCTCTTATGGTGTCTTGGAAAAGGTTCAACCTCGGAGTTTGGCATGCCCTGTATGCAGTTTCACGGCTCAAAAACTACACGACCTTCAGATTCACAGACGGGGACACTGCGCACTCCCCCCTCCTCGGATTGTGCAAGCACGCCTCCGCCCGATACGGACTCATGGCCATGGACCTGGACGCCCTGCTCAAGCGTCACCAGCCGTCCGCTGCGACAGGCGGCGCGGCAGAAGCGTCGGAGGGCATGGCAGCAGGCGGCGCGTCAGGACACCAGGCGGCTCCCGGCAGAAAGAAGGCCAAGCTGGCAGAGATGGCAGAAAACGCAGAAGAGGCTCTCGTGTGGGCCGAGGGCGCGCTCAAGCAGAAAGACATGCAAGAGGCGCTGATGGTGCTACTCAAGCTATCCTGCCAACACGCCCAGCAACTCCGCGACCTCGCCGCTCCAGAATGGATCTCGATCCTCACTCCGACGGTCTCAGAGGTGATCAAGGCAGGCCGGGCAGCAGGCAAGCAGTACTCCCAGGCAGCAGAGATCGAGGCCATCAAGCCGCAGCTCGGGTCCCCTCATTTGTACATCGCGCGCGCCGTGTACAAGTGGCTAGCGGAGTCGCCAGCTCTTCAGACCAACAAGCCGCCAGCACACATGATCATCGAGCAGTTCTACAAGAAGTTCGTGCCGGTGGCCTCAGTACAAGAGCTCGCGCTGATGATCAGGCACTTTAAGCGCAAGAAATGCTACAACGACGAGTACACGCGCACCCAATTCTCCATCGCCGACTCGCTCTACATACCAGCGGTCGACAGTCGGCCCGAGATCTCTCACAGCCGGCTAGAAATCGAGAACGCGACGATCATTATGCTGGAGGACCTCGGCGGGAAGGCAACATGGGGAGCAATCCCTCAGGGGCACCTAGAGATGCTGGCTCAGATGTTACTCGACAAGACGAAAACGAAGGAGGGCGGCAAAGGCGGCCGCAAGAAGTGACGTGGGAGAGCAGATTGGCAGCACTACAGGAGCGTATTCGGGGGAAGGAATCTCATCAGGCAACATCTTCCCTGGACTGGTAGAGATCGAAGCTTTCACTACTTGTTGTATCGGGCCATTACGCTTACTTCTACGGAGGTGTTCTTCCGACTTCTCACGACGTTTAAGAACATGGGCGACTCTCTTGGACTACGTGGGTGTCTTCTTGAAAGGCATACTCTTCCCTCGACGGAACCACTTCGGAGTTTAACTTTTTGTATCGTCCTTGCTACACGTCCGACAGCGGGTGACTCGAACTCGAATGACAACATCGACTCCTCCTTCGACACACTGGAGCCTTGATACGTACATATGCTGAGACCTCCTACGCGACGCAATGGGAATCTCTCATATTGAAGTGAGGCCAGCTACGCCTAGCTGTGTCCGATCGTGCCCCCTCTCCTTCGGTCTTTCTCGGGTTCCTTGGGACCCCGTCTCGACCGAGGCCTAACAGCCGAGGCCCCTGAGACGGGGAAGGAACAAAAAGCCTAGAGGCCACGTGTTGTACACTCAGCCTCAGCCACGGCAGCCTGCGGATATTGTCGAGGCCGCCTCCTTTTACTTTTCACTCGTGGGAACGGATGTATCACACGTTCGAGGAGTTCCACACTGGACTTCCACCTCTCCTAAGGCTCTCGGACGAGCCCCCGACCAGGCCGCGCTGCAATTCAGTACGAAGCTGTTGGATGTAGCCCCCCTAGCCCTCCCTCCACCTACACCTCCTCTCCCTCAATTCGTGCTTTCACGTCGTTAGGAGCGGGAGGATGAGGGAGGAGGAGTGAGGTTACGTGGGGGGACGCTGTTCTGCCGCTTTCTTTTCCTCGAGTCTTCGACGGGGCGGGGTGGGTGCCTGGGACGCCCAGCCAGGCACACGCAGTCTCGTTGGCCTCGGGCTCGCCGAGGCCCGAGGGGCATCACCCCCAGCCCAGAGAGATGCCGCAAAAAAAAAAACAAAAAAAACAAAAAACAAAAAAAAAAAAAAAAAAACATGTTTTGTTTGCAATCCTTCGTGTTTTTTTGTTTTTTTTGTTTTTTTTGTTTTTGCAATCCTTTGTTTTTTTTGCAATCCTGTGTTGCTTCTCTCCTGAATGAGTTTCTCACGAGGGATTGCACGGTGCGTGTAACCAGACACCTCCTTGGATGAGCGCCTCACCAGGAATCATGCGAGGTACAGCCTTGGATCGAGCACAGACGCTCGACGCTTGCGGGTCACAGCGGATGAGACCACACGCAATGCCGAGTCTTCTTCTTCTTCTTCCTCCTCCTCCTCCTCCTCCTCCTCCTCCTCCTCCTCCTCCTCCTCCCCCTCCGCCTCCTCCTCCTCCTCCTCCTCCTCCTCCTCCTCCTCCTCCTCCTCCTCCTCCTCCTGGCCGCGCCCGCCTTCTGCGCACGCGCGCGGATGTGCAGGACGTCGTGCAGGCTGCCGAGGCGCGTTGCGATCTGCAGGGCGCTAGCAAGGTTCCCAGTGAGGATGTGCGCGTCCATCTGGCACCGCTCGTCGCGGATGAACCTGACGATGAGGTATGACGAAAAGGCTTTTCGGGTTCGAGGCTCGGGGTTCTCTGACGTTTCCGTTGGTTCTCGGCGGAGTCCCAGCATCGGAGTGCCTTCCAGCGGTTGCGCCTCGCCGAGAGCGTTCGGGGGGTGCTCGAGTCGCCCCGAGCTAGCCGAGTTATGCCTGAAAGCACCGGAGCAAGAGAAGAATGACGAAAATGTCCAGACCCTACGGGCGTTTTTTGTTGTTGCCTATTTCCGGCCTCTGTGGGCCCTTGCGACTCGGGATGAGAAGTTGGTCCCGGGGAGTGGGTCAAGGCCTCTGGGGGTCCTCGCTGCGAAGAGATCGCGGCGCTGGAGTTCTGAGGATGGCGATCGTGAAAAACATACTGGGGAGCGATTCAGACAGTAGTCGGCTGCCGCTGGGGAAGCTTTCGGAGCGAAAAGGGGGAAATTAGAGCATGAGCACCACGCCCGCTAGCGAAGCGATCGCGTCCGCTCATCCATCAAAAGACAAGACAACAAGTTTGAACTCACAGAGCTCTCCGAGCTCGGGCGCGGCGGCTTCCCTGCCCCTCCTGCCCAGGACCCGCTGCCCAAAGCTTTCCGCCTCATCGCGGGAGGAGTCCAAACAGGGCAGGCCCGCGGACGAGATCGACGCCACACCCGGGAGCAGAGCTGGGAGGAGGTCCAAGGTGCAGTTTGGTATCCAAGCCGAGCTTCACACCGAGGAACTCCCGAGAGGCGTCGGAAGAAACGATCGCTGGCCCCACCGCCCACCAAGGCGGGACGGGTGCTCACCTCGCTCGCGTAACCCTCGGAGCGGGCCCGCGAACAATCCGACACGAGAGCACGGCGACCCTGAGACGCCCCTGGGTGAGAGGGGGCGGGAGGAGGAGGAGGAGGAGGAGGAGGAGGAGGAGGAGAAGGAGGAGGAGGAGGAGCAGGAGGCATCCCTCTTGGAGGATGAGCCTGATGAGCTGGCCTGCCGCCGACGGGTCCGAGGAGATCTCGGCCTTCTCGATGATCCATATGTTGACCACGTTCGACACCAGGCTGTCCCACTCCATGGGCGGCACCTTCGGGATCGACTCGAGGAACCGCACCACTCGCGCGATGGAACCGTTCTCCTTGCGAGCCTCCAGGGTCGCAATCTGGTTGGAGGCGCGAACGCACAGCTCCACGGCCGGCAGGTCCAGGAAGTCGATTACCCTCTGGGCGAGGTCGAAGTGAGCGGCTACCAGGAGCCGCTCGGCGACCTCGCACTGGGAGGGCGTTGGCCCGAAGAGGTCCATGCCCTGGGGCATGTCCGTGGGCATCGCCTCGCAGATGGCCATCTGAATCTTGACGGTCTCCAGGCTGCGGCAGATGTCGCTCTCGGTGATCTCGAGGCCGCTGATGCCGTCCACCATCGTCTCGCCCGTGCCGCCGCCCAGAGCGCCGTCGGGAGCCCCCGCCATCGTGCCCCCTTCCGCCGCTCCGTCCACGACGCCGCCCTCACCCTGGCAGGATCAGTCCGCGTGGACTCGACACATCGGATCGGATCGGCACTCGCTCGGCACCTGCATCGGACCCGCATCGGCACGGAGCCGGAACCAGATCGCATCGGCCGCGCCGGAATGCACAACAGCGCCGTGCAAGCACCGGGCCGCATCGGCTCGTCGGCATGCCGGAGTCGAGGCGGATCGAGCGGGCCAGAGTCCACACCGGCTCGGACCGGTCGGATCGAGGAGGGCCCCGCCTTGTGGTCTGCGTGGGCGCCGCGCCGCCGCCCGAAGAGCTGCTTGTAGGCGACGTTCAGGTGGGCGTAGGCGTTCTGCAGGTGGCCGACTCGCGCGTCCCACGTGTTCGAGGCTATGAAGAGCTGGATCGCCAGCAGGCCGGCGTTCACGAAGTCCTTCGTGAACACCTGGTAGGAGTACAGCAGGTCCAGCGCCCGCCGGTCGCGCAGGAACTCCTTCAGCACGTTCAAGTACTCCTGGACTCGCCTGAGCGACGGGTCGAAGTCGAGGATCACCTTCTGCAGCTCCGCGAACTGGTTGTGCGCGAGGCAGTGGTGTGCCACGACGTCCACGAACAGCCGCTTGGACACCTTCTCGTTGAAGATGTAGCAGCACGCCTGCGACAGCCTGCGCTCGCGCACCAGCATGGACAGTAGGGACTCGGCGGTGCCGTAGTTCTCCTGGTAGTGTAGCAGCTCATTGAAGGAGGCCTCGCTGAGCCGGCGCTCCCCAGTCTTACCAAACACCAGCGGGAGCGCAAGGGGGAGCGCCATCGGGCTGGCGGGCATCAGGCTGTGGGTGTGGTTATCCTCGGGCCAGAGGTTGCTCTGGCTTCTCAGGTTGAGGGACGCACTGCTGCAGCCGCAGCAGATGTCGGTGACGTCCATCATGAGCCTGTCGTAGCTGATTGCGGGCGGCGCATCCTCTTCCCCCTCGTCCTCGCGGCCCTTCTCGCCGTCCGCCTCTGCCTCACCGGCGGTGGCGACCTCCTCGGGCATGCGCTCCTTGTCCTCCGCCTGCACGTCAGCCTCTGGCGGCGCCTCGGCCAGCGCGCCCTCCTTCGACGGGTGTGCCTTGCCGCCCTTCCCGACCCTGGGCAGGTCTTGCAGCGTCGACCAGCTCGGCATCTCCGGCGGGTGGATGGGAGGGCAGAGGAAGGTGACGCCGTTGACGAAGAGCGTCTCGGTGTGCGCGTCGGGCCCACGCGAGGTATCCGCGACGTCGAGGAGGGAGGCGCCAGGGGCCGGCGCGGCGGCCGTGCCGCCTGCGCCACTGCTAACTGTGCCGCCCGCTGGGGAGGCCGAGCCGGCGGAGACCCCGAGCCCCCCACTGCTGCCGAGGCTGTCCAACGTGTCCCCGCTGGGCGGCTCCTCCGCGCTGGACTGCCGGCGCTTCTTCATGCACCTGACCGAGTCCTGCAGCCTCTGCTCCAGGACGCTCAGCTGTACGGCGCCCTGGCTGCTCGCCAGCGCCGACGCGGCCGCCTCTGGCCCGCCCCCGAGGCCCGCGCCAGAGCTGAGCGCGCCCCAAGAGCCGAGGCCGGTGCTGGCCGTGCCCGAGCGCGGCCTGTCGGGTGGGTGCCCCAGGGGTATGACCGGCACCGGCGGCACCGGCAGCTTCGTGAGCTCGAGCTCGCTGTTCGAGCCCGGCTCGCGCTGCGCGCCTGCCACCTTGCCGGCGTGGAGGGGGGCGTCGGTGGCGCCAGCACTGTACTTGGCGCCACTTGGCAGGAGGAAGATGGGCAGGGAGGCGAGCGTGGACGTGGAGCGGTAGAGCTTGCGCTGCAGGGAGTTGAACGTGTAGAGGCTGTGCAAGTGCTCCATGGACGAGAGGTCGAAGAGCGGCGGGTACCGCATGGAGTGCTCGAATGAGCCCAGGGCTGTCTTGGTCGCGTGCGCGTCAGCGGATTGGGTCTGGCCGAACTCTTGCCGGGCCTCACCTGGGGGAACCAAAAGATACCGATAACGCTGCTGACCAGAGTGCAGTCTGACCAGAAGTTCGATGCGAAGCCAGCCGTGGCGATGGGGGCCTCCCAGGAGGCCCACGGGCGAAGACGAGGCGAGGGTAGCGGTATGGGTACCTCTTCATCCTCTGATCACCGTAGCGGTGCAGCTTCTGCAGGGCCACTGCCTTGGCCTCCCGCACGGGGTCCGCAGAGATTCGCCACGTGGAGTCGCCCTTTTTGGGTGGGGAACCAGAACGGCATAAGCATCAACTTTCTGAGGGCCGCGCGGATTCCTTGGATCGGCGTTCAGGGTGGCGCCCGAGGCACCGCCAGGGGGGCAGCCAGCGCCGAACTCCGAAAAATTAGGTCTACAGTAGGAGCTCGACCACAAGAAACCTCCCACAAGAAACCCAACCCTGAGACCCGAGGACGTCCACTGACTCTTGGTGGGAACGTCACGTCTTCCATAGCAAAACCATCGAAACCCGAGAAACCCAGGGCACACTGGAGGCAAGCAGGGTGCTTCTTGGCATGGGTTTCCACTGTATGCATTTGTTCTCTTCTTCGGCTCCTTGCCGTACGCGGAGCCCGTGTGCGGGCTGTCGCCGGCCGCGCTCTTGCGCTCGCCGCCGCAGCGCTCGCAGAGCTCAAGCGCGATGGACAGTTGGTCCTCCGCGATCAGCTGGTCGCGGAGACGCGCGGCACGCTCGGGGTCGCAGAGATGCGACAGTCCCACCTTAGGAGGCAAGCTCTCGGAGTCCTTCGTAAGGGCGACGGCCGCTGAAATCTGGGCGCTACCGTTTTCTCACGCCTGGCACATTCGCCCAGTTTCCGGCCACAGGGCCATCACCGATCAATATGGCTCGGAACACGCAGCAGAAAAATGGGGTCTGGGGCTCGAGTCGTCGTTTGATCCGATGTTGCATTTGTTCGAAGCGTCGGATCTCAGGGAAAGTGCTACAAAGCCAGATTAAAGGCCCAATCAACCAAATTTGCCCAAATTAAACAACATTAAAAAGCCGGATTGAGCGGAAATAGGGGTGATAAAACGAACTGAAAAATCGGGAGCCAGGTTGAGCTGGTTTGCGAGCACGGACATGTCAGGGCCGAGGCTGATCTAACCTCTCGGGAGTTGCATCCGAACCCACCTTCAGGCCAGTGGCCTGCCACACAGTGGGGATGAAGTCCAGGTTGTTGAGGCTGCGCTCGAGCTGCACCTGGACTTCGCCGCCAGCGTTGCGGAATTTCCCCTGCAGGTAGACCAGCAGCCTTAAGGCCATGATCGGCTGCACGTAAGAGTGACCCTGGGTAAGAGCGACCTTTAGTGCGCGGCTTCACGGGGTACGCGGGGTGGCCAAACCCGGGCGCGCAGCCGCTGCTACCGCTTCACGCACAGCCATCGGGGGACCCCACTGGGCCCGGACCAAAGGTCACTACGGCGAAAGGTCACTCTTACGTCTAGTCAACATGGAAGAAGCGAGTCCCCTGACTGAAAAGCCTGTGGGAAAAAGAACAAACAAAAACACAAAACAAACAAAAAACACAAACAAACAAACACACTGTGGGAAACAACACAAAAAAAACACGTGGGGGAAAAAACACACGTGTGGGGAAAAAACACTGTGGGAAAAAAAACACACACAGTGGGGGGGAAAAAAACACACACTGTGTGTTTTTCCGTTTGCTTCCCACTGTGTGTGTGTGTGTTTTTTTTCCCACGTGTGTTTTTTTTTCCCCAGCCCCTCAGTTTTCCCCAGGACCAGCGCTTCCATCCCGAGGCGCACCTGGACGGCCCTCGGGCACAGCGGAAGCGGCGAATCAAAAACGCTCAGGATCCGCTCTTCCTAAGACGGGGCCAGGACGAGGACAAAATCGGGCGAGGATAAATCGAGAATCTCTGAGTTCCAGCGGCTCTGGAGGATGTCTCGGGCGCTCTGAGAACGGATGTATCCTCGTCCTAGCCTTAGGTCGGGCATGCCCTCCTACAAGCGGATCTTGGAAGATACATTAAACATTTGTAAGGACTTGAAATAATAGAAAAATCGCCTCCAGACAATATTTTTACAATTTTTGAATGTTCCTCCTGTGGAGGGGCATGCCCCGTCCGATTCCCCTCGGAAGATCCCGACCCCCCATGCCAGATGCCTCCGGATCAGGAATGTCACCAGCCGAACGCTGGACAGCGGGGCGCCCTGATCGGGTCCGCCACCTCCGCTGCCGCCGGCGGCGCCGGCACAAGGGCCGCCGCCCCCGTCGCGGACGGCATCCTGCATTGGGGTCTTGTTGCTCTCACCGTACTTAAGGACCACATCCCAGAAATCCGCCGACCCTGTCGGCGTGTGCGAGGGGCTTCCTCGTCCGTTCCTCGCCGCCCCCCCTTCTTCCTTCCCCCTTTTTTCTTTTTGGGCCGTACCCTCCTGCCGTCATGCCGTTGTCGATTCGAAGGGAAGCCCCTTCCCTTTGATCCCTTCCCCAGGGGGGGGGGGTCCCGCCAGGGGTGGGGGAGGGTGGGGGGGTGGGTGGGGGGGCAGATTCGTTTTTCCTCGGGCGGCCTCGAAACCTCGAAAACACTCCAAATGAGGTCCGAATGCCCAAGATGGCCCCCGAGACGGCCCAAGAGTGCCCCGAGTCGCCCAAAGATCGGCCGAAGACGCCCAAGATAGCCCCAAGACCGTCCAAGAAGCCTCCAAGACGTCCCAGGCCCCCTCCAAGAGCACCCCCAAGAAGGGCCCAAGAGGCCACACTCATTACTTTTCCATCGGAAACTTACATTTCTAGCATATACGACGTTTCGGCCTTCACGGCGTCACAGACAGCTTCGTCTTCAGGGTCGGCGGCACCGGCCGTAAGGCCTTCGCAATAATTTCGAGCGCCAAGAGAAGTATCGAAACAGCGTCGAACGAGTATCGCCTCCCAGGGCCCGACAAGTTCTTTCTGGTGATCCAGGTACAGTACGCTGGAACATCATAACATTGGGGGAACCGGTACCGCTACGGTAGAAACTCGACCACAAGAATCCTTCCACAATAATCCTAACCTTGAGACCCCAGGACGTCCATTGATTTGTGGGGAACCATCGAAACCCAAGAAACCCAGGGCACCCTGGAGGCAAGCAGAGTGTTTCTTGGCATGGGTTTCCACTGTACTCCCAGGGCCTCTCCCGGAGTGCGTACTGACCAGAATGCCGAGACGAATCCAGCCGTGGCGACGACGAGGGCCTCCCAGGAGGTCCAACCAGGCGAAAATGGAGAAAAACCACCACGAGATCCGACGTTGCGAGACAAACGCAACATCGCGAAAAAAATCACGATCGGAGTCCTACACCCCATCTTTCTGCAGCATTTTTCGAACCGAATCGATCTGTGATGGTCCTGGGGCTCGAAACTGTGCGAAAACGCCCGATGAGAGAAAATTGCAACGCCTGGATCTCACGGTAGCGGGAAGCGATATCCTTACTTCTTCCTCCTCTGATCCTCGCTGCGGACCCCGCGCTCCCACCGCGGCGGCCCGAGGGAGTGATGGGGCGCGAGGTCGCGGAGCCGCAGGGAGAGCTCGTCGCAGATGGCGAAGCAGCTGGCCGCGTTCTCTGGGCTGTCCGAGCACAGCTCCAGGATCTGCTCCGCGAGCCCGATGCTGGGTGCGGCCTCGAAGACGTGCTCCTCGCGGATCCGCCGGTCCTGGAGGAAGAAGAACAATTGCATAATTAATCGAACATCCACGTTCGGAGGTCCACGTGGATCTCTCGGGTCGCCACGGGGCGTCGAGCGCCGATCCAAGAAATCCGCGCTGGCCTTCGAAGGTGTATGTTTGTGCCACTTTCCCTGCCTCGAGGTCCTCGCTCGGGCTGCCGGTGAGGCACCACTTTCCGCCCAGCCCGGTGCCGGCGCAGTCGGCAGCCCCGACCCCGGCTGCGGCGCCGGGGACCCGCCCATCCTCCAAGGGGCTGAGACTGGCCTCCTCGTCCTCTGCCGGGAGGCAGAGCAGCGCCGCCGCCTGTGGTGGGCTTACATTACAGAACCACCGCCATGGACCAAGGGCGCCTGACCCACTGAGCACCGTCTGACCGATCCGTCCACACTGGCGTGGTCTTGGCCCCACCGGCCGACTTACTCGCCTAGGTGGGGATACGTGACCCAGGGTCCACCCCCATGCAGACGGGATCGAGCCCCCCCCCCCGCTGGATGGGTACGCCCGTGAGCATCGCAAAGGCCTCGCGAATGGGAAGGATCCCCCGCCCCCCTGTGGTCGTGACCCTGTGGGCGTGGCGTGGTGGAGGGTGCTGGTGCAACCCCCTCCCTCCCCCTGTGCGTGTGGGGTGGCTCGTCGTCGTCGACGTCAACTTTGTCCGTCGGCATCGGCGTCGGCGTCGGCGTCGACGTCCTTGTCGTCGTCGTCGTCGACGTAGACTTCGCCGTCGTCGTCGTCGACGTCGTCGTCGTCGGCGGCGTCGGCGTCGGCGTCGGCGTGGGCGTCGGCGTCGGTGTCGGCGTCGGCGTCGACGTGGGCGGATGCTTGGGCGAGTGCGTGGGCGTGGGCGTGGGCGTGGGCGTCGTCGTCGTCGTCCCCCCCATCCCATCTGGGGGAAGGGGCCTGCGAGACCCTGGGACTCATACTATCTAGGGGGGGAGGCCTGTGAACCCTCGACCATGGATCATATACGTATGCTGCCCCTCGCGGGTTTCACGGGACCCATCCCCAGCCGGGCGGGTGATCTAGGCTGAGATAGCATAGCCCAGTGGGGGGGTGGGAAAGGTTAGACAAAGCTGACCCACGGCAGTGGTTTGCTGGGCGCGGACAGCGCCTCGCAGAGCAAAGCACCACCATGGGACAGCCGACCTGGCCTGTGGTGGCAGAGGTGACACAGATGCCCATCAGCCTGCAGGGCCAGCGCCTTCCGCGCGTAGCGCAGGATGAGGGCGTCGTGGCGGTATTGTGGGAAGTCTGCGAGGAAGGGCTCCTATAAGAAACAAAAGGCATAAACATAAACTGCCGGAGGACCGCGCGGAGCTCGTGGATCGGCGCTGGACCCCCCCTCCCTGGCGCGCGGAGGCGCCGCCAGGGGGGTCCCAACGCCGGTCCAAGAAATCCGCAGGGCCCTCCGACACTTTATGTTCGTGCCCCTTTTGTTTCATTTTCGAGCTCCAGCAGGTCGACGCGTGCGTTCATCAGCAAGCTCTCGACGATCAGCACGGGCTTCCGCAGCACGCGCAGGAAGTGGGGCTGCACCGTGTCGCTGACGGCGCCGAGGAGCTGCAGTGCGGCGTGGAGCACACGCAGGCGCTGGTCCTGTCTTTGCTGGTCGAGAGGGCTTGATATACGGTCAAGAGCTTTTGCGTCGCGTGTCGCGGCGGCGGCCCCGGCGACACGCTATGCCTTGCAAGCGCATGGCGCGTCGGCTCCGCGGGGCGGGATGCTCGGAAAAGCTCGGAACGCTGCCGCTCGGGGACACGACCATGAATGGAGTGTCGCGCCGAAGCGCGGTGGGCCAGAACCGGCGGCGCGACACGCTAAACAAAAGTTCCCGACTGAATGTGCATACATGTGTGTATGCATATGTGTGTATCCATGTGTATACATATATACATATGTACTAGAACCATCGCGCGCGCTTCGCGCGCGCTCAAGTTCTAGCTAGGCTTGATGGGCTAGATCATGGAATCACATGTTGTCGCTTCTTGCATCAAGGGACTCTCTTGGAGCCCCTACGCAAGCCTCGGAACCGTATAGGAGGCGAACTGCGGAAACGCGGAAGTCCTTAATTTACGTTGGGTTTTCAACGACTTGGGGCCCTCAAAGGCTTCCTGGTTACTTTTCTGGGAGCTGAGGGGGGCCTTAACTGTGGTCTGTTGTGCAAGAGTAAACAGGGGGCGAAGTGAAAAAGGAATTGTGGGATGCACATTGTTTTCCAGTTGCCATGCTTGGGCTGTGGGTTTGAAGTTTTCTGGATACAGGCCACGGTCCATTAGGATGCCTCTCGGGATCTTCGTGTGAAATGAAAGGAATTAAACATGTTCAAGTCATGGGATCATAAGACCTCGATTTCTAGGGTAGTTTCAGGGGCAGCCAAAAGGACGCGAAGACGATCCAAGAGAGTGCAAAGACAGCGTCAGAGAGTTCAACAATATTCCCGAAACATCTTTGCATGTGACTCCGAAGTCTTGATGGGGCTCGAGGAAGAGGATAGGGTAGGAGTTCCAACTTGAGAAAAAAAATCTCGGGAATTCTTATTTTTTTCAAAGTCCTCGGTCTTGGAGCGCTGGAAGCGGAAAAACGTGAGAAGGCGAAAAACGTCGACAACACCACTGGAAATAAACAATGTTACCCTGTTCGGGCTCTCTCGGGACGGCTCTCGAAGCTCTCTTGGGCTATTTAGGGGGGCCTCGTCGGGGCATTTTTGGGGAGCCTCTCAGGGGTCTGGGGTGTGTTGGAGGCCTCTGGGAGTTCCTGGAGTCCTCTGGGAGGCCTCTGGAGGCCTCCTGCTCCTGCTCTTGGGCTCATCTGGAGCTGTCCTGGGCGCCTCTTCGGCAGTCTTGGGGCCGTCTTGGCCCGACTTGGGGCCATCTTGGGGGCCTCTTTTGGCGGTCTTGGGGGCCTCTGCAGCCGTGTTGGCGCGTTGGAAGCATGAAATGGTGAGAAGGCCAAAGACCCCCCCCCCAGAACAAAAACAATGAAAATTAACGATATGAGGTTCTCCGGGCGCTCTCGGGAGGCCTCTCGGAGCTCTCTTGAGGTCTCTTGGAGGCCTCCTGGGAGCCAGGAGAACCGCCCGAAAGCTATCCTGGGTTGCTTTGGAGCGTCTTGGGCCTTTCTTTTACGTTCTGGGGGCTTCTTGAGGTCGTCTTGGGCCGTGGGCTGTCTTTGGGCATTCGGGGGCTCCCCGGGAGGCCGGGAAGCTCGGCACCGGGAGCGTAATTCAAATGTGATCGAGGTGAAGGACGCCCTGGGAGGGGGCCCGGCCTCTGTAAGGGTCCTAGCGGATTCATATGGTTAGGTGAGCTTTGCCACCGATTCTCACGGCCCGCTCGGGTGCCCAGGTGCCCAGGTGCCAGGGTGCCCGGGTGTCTTATAGCCCGATAGCCCTATAGCCCTGTAGCCCTAAAGCCTAATAACCCTATGACCTTATAACCCTATAGCCCCATAGCCCAATAGCCATATAGCCCCATAGCCCAATAGACCGATAGGCATACAACCTTATAGCCCTATAGCCTTATAGCCTTATAGCCCTATCGCCCTAGAGCTCAAAGAGCTCTATAGCCCTATAGCCCCTGCCCTATAGCCCTATAGCCCTATAGCCAAGTAGCCCAGTAGCCATATAGCTCTCTCTCTCTCTCTCTTTATATATATATATATACTTGTGTGTGTGCGTCGATAGCCTCATAACCCTCTAGCCCCATAGCCATATAGCCCTATAGCCGTATAGCCCTATGGTCCTATAGCCCTATAGCCCCATAGCCCTATAGACTGACCGCCCTATGGCCGTATAGCCCTATAGCTCCATAGCCCCATAGCCCTATAGCCCTACAACCCTATAGCCCTACGGCCCTGTAGCCCTATGGCCCTATAGCCCTATAGCCCTATGGTTCTATAGCCCTATGGCCCCCTAGCCCTATAGCCCCATAGCCCCATCTCCCTGTAGCCCAATAGCCCCATAACCCCATAGCCCTAACAAGACTTTGATGTGGCTTTATCTCTGGTATCATTTGTACATCTGGATTGATTTACTGACCGTCGCCATTCTAGTGGAGGGTCCCGAGTGGGCCACCTTCGGGGTCTCTTGAAGCCGTTTTCAGGCCGTCTTAGGGGCCTTCTGGGCCGTCTTGGGGGCCTCCTGGGCCGTGTTGGGGCCCTCTGGGGCCATCTGGGTCCCTCAGGGCAATCTTGGCTGGGGGCCCGGTTGGGTTGAGGGCCGCCTGGAGCCCCTCTGGGGGCCCTCTTGGAGCATCTTGTGGCCGTCTTGGGCCCCTCTTTGGCCGCCCTGGGCTCGTCGTGGGACCCTCTTGGGCCATCTTGGAGCGATCTCGGGGGCCTCTTCGGCCGTCTCTGGCGCTCTGGAGGCCGAGAAGCCGAGTGTGCAAAAATTACAACCTCCAAGACAGAGACTGCAGAAAAGGGGTCGGCGCATGTAACATAAGCCTGTGCAAAACTGAGTACTTACCCGTTACGAAAATTATTTATCTTGAGCGCTAACGAATAGGGCGTCTCCGAGCGGGACCCCCTTCCCCCGTAGACTCCAAGCACGGCAGCCTTCGGCCTGGTTGGGCGGGAGAGCTTTCCGGGGGTTCTCCCCGGTGTACATAATGTATAACCGGTTCGGGATAACATCTCTCCCCATATACGTTCACAAGGGGGAAGTCACTCCAGGCCACTTCCACGCAATTATGAATATCTCCCCGTTTGAAATCACACTACGTCTCACACAACAGCGCCCAGACATGCTAACTTTCTCCCAGATGCATACCCTCTCGCAACGGGGCTGAATTCACAAATCCCGGCGTTACAAAAAACACAGAGATTGAAATCCCAACGGACGGGATCCGGCCCATGCCAGTGCAAGACCATCGAATTTCACTTTACCACGAAACTTTCGGAACGCCGATGTAGCATGCTAGAATACACTGCTTGGGGTCCACGCTGGCTAACGTGTCTGAAATGGGCCTGGTTGGGGACGGGGTTTTGTCCAGCAGAGGGGCAGAGGCGCTGGTCCTCGTCGGCGGAGAGCCACGAGTGGAGCCGCTCCAGCAGCATCTGGCACAGGAGCACGCGGTGCCGGCAGAAGAGCGCAACACGGCACGAACGTAAACTTACGGAGGTCCGCGCGGACATCTTGAATCGGCGCTGGACGCCCCCCAGCGGCGCCTGCAGCGCCGCCCCTGGCGCACTCCGCCTCCAGCGACGCCCCTGGCGCGCTCCGCGCGCCAGGGGGGGGGGTCCAGTGCCGATCCAAGAAATCTGCGCGGACCTCCGAAAGTGTATGTCGATGCCGGTTTCGGTCTTCAATCTGGATCAAGTCGAACATGTCCAGCAACTGCAGGGCAAACGATACGGCCTGCTGCGGCGGGAAGGACAGCAGTCGGCTGACAGCGCTGGTCTTGTCGTTCTTCGTCGTAAAGAGGTAGTGGAGCCTCGAGAGCTCCAGGGAGTGCAGGGGGTCGGTCATCCCGTACATCTGTGTCAGCGTCCGCGCCAGGTCGTGCTGCTCCAGTGACATCAGGTGGGCGACCGCCTCACTCACCTGTGCCTTGTCCATGTCCTCGATCTCCTGCCAGACGCGCCACCTGCCTCCGGACACCTGCAATATCTTCTCGAAGGTAACCATCTTCCGCAGGATCCGTTTGAGCTCGAGCTTGAGCGAGTGGACCTCGGTGCCGTCCGTGCTGGCAGAGCAACGAAAAACTGCATAAACATTCACTTTCTGAGCTCCGAGCGGAATTCTTGGAATGGCGCTGGACGCCACTAGCGCGCGGAGCGCGCCGGGGGATGCGCCCGAGGCGCCGCCAGGCGAACACAGCGCCGATCCAAGAAATCCGCGCGGAGCTCCGACAAGTTATATTTGTGCAGATGTTTGTTCCTCGGGCTGGGCTGCAGCTCGAATCTCTGCAGGCACATCGACACTGTCTGCACTGCTGTGTCCACGTCCCAGCGCTTGTGCCGCTCCAGCGTCAATCGCGCAGCCAGCGTGTGGCGCTTGAGCCGGTGCATGCACTCGTGGTCCAGCAGCTCGGCGCGCGCCACGAAAGGCGTTGGCTCGCGGGCCTCCAGAGCAACAAACAACAATCACAAACTCTCGGAGCTCCGCGCGAAATTATTGGGCCCTCCTGGAGGCGCCTCTGCGCATCCCCTGGCGCGCTCCGCGCAACAGGGAAGTGGGTCCAGCGCCGACCCAAGAAATCCGCGCGGACCTCCGGAAATGTGTGTTCATGCCGCCTCGTCTTCTTCGAGGGCCTCGTCTCCGTGGGTGCTGTTGAGGTACAGGTGCAGCACCTGGTCCGTGAGCGCGCTGTCGAAGGGCAGGTACTCGTCGCACACCTGCAGCGCCGGGGGGCCCGGGGGTAACGTTACTGGGGGGTCGGCTCAGGGGGACGAAGTTTCGAAGCCCGAGGTTTTCAAACGTCTTCGTCGGTTCTCCGCGGCTTCCAGCCTCCGGAAAGTGTCTGTGTTAGGAGAGGGGGGCGGGGGGGGGACGTAAAGGGCGTAATTGGGGGGGGGCGGGGGGGGGCATAACGTACCGCCCCCCCTCTCGCCGTGTGAGTCCGGCACGACAGCGCCGGTGCGCATCGCATCGAGCACGACAGTGCGCAGCACCGTACGCACTGCTGCCGCATCCATGCGGGAACCACATCGTCTGTGTACTGCGCAGCGCATACGTGCAGCATCGTGCACCAGCGTTTGCTCCCTCACCCTCCCTCGGGCAATCTTCTGGGCTGGTGTTTGCTCGACATCGAGGGCGCCCGAGCGCCAGACGGTGACGACGACGACGACGACGACGACGACGACGACGACGACGGCACGACGACGACGACGACGACAAGGACGAAGACGACGACGAGGACGGGAACGACAACGACGACGACGACGACGACGACAAGGACGACAACGACGGCTGCGACGACGACGACGACGACGACGAGGACGACGACGACGAGGACGACGACGAAGACGATGACGATGAGGACGACGACGACGATGATGACGAGGACAAGGACGAAGACGTGGACGAGGACAAGGACGACGACGACGACGACGATGACGACAACGGCCGCCTCTGAAGGTCTCCAGAGGTCTCTGGAGGCCTAAGGTCTCAGGAGACCTCTGGAGACTTTTGCAGGCCCGTCGAGGCCCTCGACGACGAGGACAAGGACGAGGACGAGGATGAGGGCGGAGACGACGACGACGACAAGGACGACAAAGACAACGACGACGGAGACGACGACGACGACGACGAGGACCAGGACGAGGACGAGGACGACGAGGACGACGAGGACAAGGACGAGGACGAGGATGAAGACGAGGAGAATGACTACGCCGACCACCACCACGACGACGACGGCCGCCTCTGTAGGTCTCCGGAGGTATCCGAAGGCCTACAGAGCTCTCGGGAGCCCTCTCGAGATGTCTGAAGGCCCTTCGGGCCCTCGGCGACGACGACGACGACGACGACGACGACGACGATAACGACAAAGACGACCACGACGAGGACTAGGAGGACGAGGACGACGAAGACGACGACAGAGACCAGTACGAGGACGAGGACGGGGACGAGGACGAAGATGACGATGACCACGAGGACGACGGCAACAACGACGACAACATCGATGACGACTACGACGACGACGAAGACGACGATGATGAGGACGAGGACGAGGACGAGGACGAAGACGCGGAAAACGACGACGACGACAACGACGGCCGCCTCTGAAGGTCCACAGGTCTCTCGAGGCCTGGGGAGATCTCTCGAGGCTTCTGGAAGCGTCCGCGACCGCAGGCCCCGCCAGGCCCTCGGACGCGACGACAAACGCTGAAACAGCCTGCGAGCACCACAGTAGGAGCATCACGACTGCAACGCTGGAGGCGCACTACGGGAGGGGGGGGGGTCACGTTATTGGGGGGGGGGAAGGTGGGGGGCATGACGCGCGTTATGGCCCAGAGGGTTGAACAACAACACGCTCGGGTGCCCTCCAGCGGGTGCGCCTCGTAGAGAGCGTTCCAGGGATGCCCGCGTCGTCCCGGAAGCCACCTGCAACGCCTCCTCGTACCTCTGCTCCGTGTTGAGGGCGTGCACCAACTTCGTGTAGGCGGCGCTCATCCCCGCCTCGTGGTCGTCGCCGACCGCCTCCAGGGCGAGGCGGTCCTCGACGCCGAGGCGCTGCATCTGCTCCTCCGAATAACCGCTGGAGACGGCGGGTCCGAAGCCGGCGCCGCCGTCCTCGTCCTCGTCCTCGCAGCCCTCGCCCGCCTGCTCCTGGCGGAACCAAAACCCTGAGATCCGGGCGGTTTCGCCCGTTCTGGGGCCCCGGGACCCTCACAGATCCACCCAGCTCGAACAATTACGCAGGAAGATGAGTTCTACGATTGCGGTCGCGGTTGTTCGCGATGTTGCAATGTTTTGCACGGATCTGAAGGAAGGTGCCGATACAGCTGCTCCGCGGACCTCTTCGGGGCTGCGTTCTGGCCAGGATCTCGAAACGAATGCAGCCATGGCGGCGAGGGCCTCCCAGAAGGCCCAAGAAGGCGAAACGAAGCAAGGGCAGCGGCATCGATAAGATCCGCCGTTGCGAACACAAATTGTTACGTCGCGGCTAGAACCCCATCTTCCTGCGGCGTTCTTCGAGCCGGATGGATGGGCCAGGGACCAGACGAGAATGCCGGCTGGGTGCAAATAATTTTGATCTTATTCGGCGTTTCGACATTTGGCGGAAGGGGGGGGCTGGGTGGGGGGGGGGGCGGGGGGGACCGGACCTCTGCTTAATGCGGCTGTTTGCAACAGTGCGTCATGTGGGGGAGACTCCACCTGCTTGACACAGGCGCCAAAAACAGCCAAGATCTACTCGACAGGGGGCGAGGGGTTGCGAGGGCCCGCGCCGATCGGCAGAGCAAGGAATAAGAAAACTATCACCAGCGGAATTGGTAATCCCACCAGCCCTGAACGACAGGTGGTCTAACGAGATTACTCTCCCCTCTTCCACATCCCCTTCTTCTCCTTCAGGGGGGGGTTCACACCTCCCCCTACCCCCTCCCCTGGACCTGGATGGGGGGTTCCGCGAGGGGTTGGAGGCTCCTCTTTCGGCCATTGGGAGGGCCATTTTCTGCCACCCCTCACGAGGATCGTGGCCCCCGAGGGGGGACGACGATAAAGGAACCCCTTCTTTTGATCGATAGCCTCCAAGATGACCCCAAGCAGGCCTCCAGGGTTCCCAAGAAGGCCCCAAGAGGGCCCAAAGAGAGCTTCAAGATAGCCCCAAGAGGGCCCCAAGACGGCCCCAAAAGCGCCAAAGAGCGCTCCAAGAGAGCCCCAAGAAGCGGTTGGGGGTGGCTGGGTCGGGGACCCCCCCATCATTTGATCGATGGCCCCCAAGATGGTCCCAAGAATCCTTCCAGGGTTACCAAGAGGGGTCCAAGAGGGCCCCAAAAATTCCCAGAGAGCACCAGCAGCAGCAGCAGCCGCAAGAATCCCACCAGCTCTTTTGGCGACAGGTGGTCTAATGAGGGTCTCTTTCCACTTCCACAACCCCTCCTCCCTTCGGGGTGGGGAACCCTCCCCCTCCCCCCCTAAGGGCTTTCGGGAAGGATCGCGAGGTGTCGGAGGCTGCTTATTTCGGCTATTGGGGAGGCCATGATTTGCCACCCCTCACTAGGATCGTGGCCCCCCAGGGGGCGACACAAATCGAGTACCCCCCCTCTTTTGACCGACCGCCTCCGAGATGGCCCCAAGAGACCTCCAGGGCTCCCGAGAGGCCCCCAAGAGGGCCCAAACAGCGCCCCAAAAGCTCCAAGAGGCGTCAAAAAAAAACACGAGAGACCCCCAAGAGGCCCCCGAGCGGCCTCCGAGGGGCCTCAGAGAGCCCGAGATGACCTTCAAGATGGTTCACGATAGCCCAAGCTAGCTACAGATGGCTCCCAAGATGCCCCAAGAGGCCCCGAGACCGCTCCAAGGCGGCTCAAGATGGCCACGGAAACTCGCCAGGATGCCGCCGAGATGCCAAAATCCTTCACTCACGTAGCGCCAACCCATGATTATGGCCTTTATCGCCTTTTTCCCAACCATCCTGTGGTGTTGGGTCCTCGTTTTGAAGAGACAGCGCCCCGCGTTCACTCCTCCTCCCGCTGCCCCCTCCCTCCTGCCATCATCATCACCATCAGCATCACCATCATCATCATCATCATCATCATCATCATCATCATCATCAGCATCATCATCATCATCATCAACATCATCATCATCACCATCATCATCATCATCACATCATCATCATCAACCCCTCACACGTTTCGTGGCCCCATAGGGAGCTCCAGCGAAGGCCCCAGTGGCTGCGCTCCCATGCCCCACCGTCACAATTTCACTACACGCATGGCATAGGGTTTCGTGGCCCCAGGGAGCTCCAGCGAAGGCCCCAGTGGCTGCGCTCCCATGCGCCCACCGCACCCATTTCGGCACACCCCTCACACGTTTCGTGGCCCCACAGGGAGCTCCAGCGAAGGCCCCAGTGGCTGCGCTCCCATGCGCCCACCGCACCCATTTCGGCACACCCATCACACGTTTCGTGGCCCATGGGGAGCTCCAGCGAAGGCCCCAGTGGCTGCGCTCCCATGCGCCCACCGCACCCATTTCGGCACACCCCTCACACGTTTCGTGGCCCCATAGGGAGCTCCAGCGAAGGCCCCAGTGGCTGCGCTCCCATGCGCCCACCGCACCCATTTCGGCACACCCCTCACACGTTTCGTGGCCCCATAGGGAGCTCCAGCGAAGGCCCCAGTGGCTGCGCTCCCATGCGCCCACCGCACCCATTTCTGCACACCCCTCACACGTTTCGTGGCCCCATAGGGAGCTCCAGCGAAGGCCCCAGTGGCTGCGCTCCCATGCGCCCACCGCACAGATTTCGGCACACCCCTCACACGTTTCGTGGCCCCATAGGGAGCTCCAGCGAAGGCCCCAGTGGCTGCGCTCCCATGCGCCCACCGCACCCATTTCGGCACACCCCTCACACGTTTCGTGGCCCCATAGGGAGCTCCAGCGAAGGCCCCAGTGGCTGCGCTCCCATGCGCCCACCGCACAGATTTCGGCACACCCCTCACACGTTTCGTGGCCCCATAGGGCGCTCGAAGGCCCCAGTGGCTGCGCTCCCATGCGCCCACCGCACCCATTTCGCACACCCCTCACACGTTTCGTGGTCCCATGGGGAGCTCCAGCGAAGGCCCCAGCGGCTGCGCTCCCATGCGCCCACCGCACAGATTTCGGCACACCCCTCACACGTTTCGTGGCCCCATAGGGAGCTCCAGCGAAGGCCCCAGTGGCTGCGCTCCCATGCGCCCACCGCACCCATTTCGGCACACCCCTCACACGCTTCGTGGCCCCATAGGGAGCTCCAGCGAAGGCCCCAGTGGCTGCGCTCCCATGCGCCCACGGCACAGATTTCGGCACACCCCTCACACGTTCCGTGGCCCCATAGGGAGCGCCATCGAAGAAGATATTGACAATTGCGGTACTCGCAATTGCATCTGGTTGGGTCCTTCGCCAGGATAATTGTTTTCGTTGGCCTTCCGGGGCGTTAAGATGGCCCCAAATGGCCCAAGGGGGCCCAAGAGAGACCCAAGAGAGCCAAAAAACAGCCCCAAGAGCGCCCAAGAGCGCCCCAAGAGCGCTCCAAGAGGGGCCCAAGAGGCAATTTTTGGTACTCTCGAGAGGCGACGCTACTTGAAACTCCCCCTTTTTTTTTGATCGGCCTCCTTCAAGATGGACCCAAGAGCGCCCCCAAGGCTCTCAAGAGCGCCTCAGCAAGGCCCTAAGAGGCGCCCAAAACGCTTCCAAGAGGCCCCCAAGAGACCCCAAAGAAACCTCAAGAGGAGCCCCGCGGCACCCAAGACGCTCAAAGACGGCCCTGGGCCCGCCAAGATGCCCACAAGACGCTCCACGAGCCTCCAAAAAGCTTCCAAGACACATCCGGGGAGACTCTGAGAGGCAACTCGCCTGGGCATTGCTTCTGGCTGGGCTGGCGGGGATACTTTTTGTCGCAGCTACAGGCCAACGGGTCCGACAGCGTCAGCAGAGTTAGCTCGGGTTACGAACAATGTAATTGCCGACGCGCGCGCCGAGCAAGCGAGCTAAACCTACCGCCGAGGGAAGCAGCTGCGCCGCGACTGAGCTGCGCCGAGGGGTGGAAGCTGCCAGCTGCGGAGGCGGCTGGAATGTTGCAACGTGTGAGTACCATGGGAACTGAATCACCAGGCACGGGAATTAGGCCTCGTCGCCACCGGGCGCCAGAGGACAGGGAAGCAGACCGCCAGGTGACAAGCCAGGCGCCACAAGAAGGCCGAACCACTCCTGCAAAACACGGCGGCCAGTACCCCAGGTGGCCAGCTGACAACCAGAGCCAGGGAAGTGCAAGCACTGCCGGAACTGGTCAAGGCTGGTGGGGGTACTTTTTTGTCAGCGGCCGCAGGCGAGCGCGCCAGCGGCGAATCCAGTCAGAGCGGGGCGCGCAAAGACGAATTAACCTAAAAAGGGGGCCGGGGCCTCACGCAGCACATGGGCGGCGATCCGGCGAGTGGAAAACGCTGGCGGTAGGCTGGATAGCAGTACTGCCAGGGTGCACGCATGCAACGCGTCGAAAGCAGCAGGCGGCCAGGGCATTCGGCGACCAGGGAAAGCTGCGAACGGGAATTAGTTGCAAGGGCACAAGCCCCCGGACTACTGCGAAAGTACAGGGTGGCCGCAGCCAAGTGAACCGACTGTCGGAGGTCGAATTGGGTGCCCAGAACGGGCGTGAGCATCGGCAAGCTGCGAGGTACCAGGGTGGCCGCGGCCAAAAGGGTCCAACAGCAGCAGCACGCAAAGTGCGAAGAGCAGTCAAGCTGCAGCGCGGCCAAAACGGCGCGGGGACACCACGAAAGCGACCGTGGGAAACTCGGGGAACCAAGCCGTGACCGAGGGCCAGACGGGTGCAAGAGGTGGCGCCAGCGAAGTCGCGCACCAGAAGCCCTGAATAGGGAGCACGTGCCCGCAGTCAGCACACCGGTGGTGGCGACAGACGTACACGGACACCTCGGGGAGAACTCCAGTACTGAAACCAGGGGCTGGTGGGAATAGTTTTGATTGGCGGCTCAAAGGACAGATCCAGCGAGCGGGAATAACGTCTGCTGGTGGGAATAATTACCCGAAGCGTCAAGAATTACATGTTTCAAACATAGACATCCGCCGATCTGACTTTTTAAACCGCGGCCCCAAAAGTCCCGACCCCTGCCCCGAACGTCCAGGAAAAACCCTTCGATCGAAAAAAACATGTCTTCAGATCTCTGGGAATGTTGCTTCCCCTGAGATCCGACGTCTCCAAAAATTGAAACGTCGTCAACAAGCGCGTCTGGAGCTCTAGACCCCATCTTTCCGCTCCACTTTTCGAGCTGGATCGATCTGTAAGGGTCCCCGGGCCCGAAATGATGCGACAACGCCCGGCTCGCACAGAACTGAGTCGGCAGGATGTCGCCCCGCCGTCTCGTTTTGCCCGTGCTCCGGGCCGCTGCTGGCGGAGAGCTCGTCCAGGACGCTGCTCGGGGAGGGCGGCGGCGTCCTCGCGCTGGCGGGCCGCCGCGGCGGCGACTTCGGGGCGCGGGCCCGGGGCTCCCGGGGGCCCTTCGTGCGCTCGTCGGCCCACTGGATGGCGCGCAAGGCGTGGCAGCGCTCCTCTCGGCGGCGAGCGGCCCAGACCCCCATCGTCGGGGAGGAGGAGGAGGAGGAGGAGGAGGAGGAGGAGGAGGAGGAGGAGGAGGAGGAGGAGGAGGAGGAGGAGGAGGAGGAGGGGGAGGAGAAGTTGCGAAAAAATCACGACGGCAGGTTGTTCGCTATTGTCTGCCTCCAGGGGCCCTGAACCCGGCCTCGGGATCGTCAAAAAACTACCCAGGATGAGAAACCGGTCCCCGGAAAGGGGTCGAGACCTCTGCGGGTCGACGTTGAGAAAAATCACGACGTCGGGGGTCTGGGGAGGGGGGCATGAGAAGGAGAAGGCTCTCTCAGAAGACGGCGGGACTTCTCAGAAGCCCTCTGGCCCTCTGCAGAGTTTTTTGTGTCTTCGGGGAAGGCTGAGAAAACTTCTCGGAGGGCTGGGGGACTTCCGAGCCTTCTGAGGAGGCCCGCCCCACCTTCACCTCCCCCCATGGGCTCGCCGCAAATCCTCAGCCCAGCGGTGCAGGGATGGGAAGCGCCCGTCGCTCTGGCCCTTGGCGAAGTGCAGCATCTTCCAGGAGGGCCAGCGCTTGCCACGGCGCTCCAGGCAGGCCATGGTGGCCAGCAGCGGTGCCTCGGGGCAGCGGACCTGCGGCAGGGCAGTCTCGTGCTGCGCGAGGTAGTGCACCACCTCCATCGACAGCGGGTAGCGGGAGCGCGCCGTGCCCGGGTCGCGGAGCCGGTGCCCCTCCGCCTCTCCGCGCTGCGGCGTCCAGACGGGCAGCACGGCCGAGGAGTTCACGATCACCTGGACCAGGTCCACGTTCATCACCTCGTGGGGGTTGCAAGCAAGCAAGTGCCGATCGCCGATGATGCCCCTGTTGCCGGGACCCCTCGAGGCCTCTCCGGAGGGCGCGTTCTGACCAGGCTCTCGAGGCGGATCCAGCCGTGGCGACAAGGGGCGGATAGCGGTACCAGGATCCTTTCCTCCCCTGACCTCGGACAGCGCAAGCGCCTGCCGGTGCCCGCCCAGCTCGAACAGCAGGCGGGCCACGATGCCCTTGGGCGACTCCGCGAGAACGTCGAACAGCTTCGTGACCTCCACGTCCTCCTCTGGCAGCTCGCCGAGGCCGTCGCACGAACCCTCGCCGGCTCGGTCCTCGGCGGCGGCGTTCATCGCGAGCTTGATATGGCCCTCCTTCGGCTTGTGCTTCTTCACTTCCTTGGAGGAGCAGAAGCGGCAGAAACATAAACTCTTGGCGGTCCGCTCGGATTTCTCGGGTCGGCGCTGAACTCCCCCCTCCCTGGCGCGCGGAGCGAGCCAGGGGCAGCGCCAGAGGCGTCGCCAGGGGGCCCAGCGCAGATCCGAGAAGTCCGCGCGAGCTCCGACAAGTTCATGCTTATGCCGTCTCTTATTCGACTCCTGAGTCTTCTTCGTCTTGCGAGCCTGTGCGTCCGTGGAGGCCGACCGCATCAGGTCCGCAACCTTCGCCAGATACTCTAGGAATCGCAGGAGGTACTTCGACGCCCCGAGGCCCTCGGCCATCGCCTCGGCATCGTCGCGCTGGTCGCGCGCATCCACGTCTGTCACGGTGGCCTTGGAGCTCTCGTCCTCCTCGCTCGTGAGGCTCTTGATCGCCGAGGACAAGAAATCGACCAGCGTCCGCTGGGACGTGGAGGTGGTCTGCCCTTTCTTCACCAGGTCCACGCTCTCGACCAGGGACAGGATGGCGTGGCGCTGGGAGTGCATCCGGTTCAGGTGCGACTTCAGCAGCGCCGGCTCGGACGGCAGAGTCTCGATGCCCAGGATGATGGACGCCAGCGACGCGCGGCCCTTGAACTCCGCGGGCCGCACCTCCACCAGCACCTGCAGCCGCTCCACCCAGTTCTTGAAGAAGCTGCGCAGCGACGCGGTGATGGGCAGGAGCCCCGGGTCCCCCACGCTCGCCAGGCCCTCGCTGGCGAGGCAGGGGGAGCCTGCGGACACCATAAGGCAGCGATACTGCTGCTCTTCGAGTAGGGGATCGTCTACATAATTGATTTACCCCACACTTAGTTTCTCGTCGAACCCACAGAGAAAAACTCAGAATTATCGGTCGCTGTGCAAAACGCCATCCACGCATTTGTCCTAGAGTCAATGGGGGTTAATGAATGTCGGGGTACATCAATTCTGCAGTCGATCCCCTACTCGAGCCCTAGGGCGACGAGATCTATACATATTATCCACGGCTGCTGCCCCTGCACTTCCTAGGCCAAGGACCGGTGCATACGCCCCACGGCTTGGCCAGGGAGGCGTCGCACGGGCCCAGGAGCTCACCATCGCTCGGACGTCCATTGCCCGTGCATGTTTCGGCTTCATGCGTGCATTGTTTTCGCAAGGTGCACAGACATGCACTTCGACGGTCCCCGCCTAGGAACAGCGCACGCGTCCGAGCGAGGCCAAGGGAAAGGAAGGAAGGCCTGGCCAACGGCGGTGAATGTGAAAGGTGGCGTTTCAAAGCGAATCCAGCGGTGGCGACGAGGCCTCCAGAGGGTCCCACGGAAGGCGAAAATGAGACAAGGGCAGCAGCAGCGGTATTTGATTTTGAGATCCGACGCTGTGAAAACCTCCTAATTTGCGGGAAATCACGACCAGAGCCCCAGACCCCATCTTCTTGCTGCATGTTCCCAGCCCGATCGATCTGTGATGGCCTCGGGACCCGAAGCCGGGCAAAGACGCCCCGTGCGACAAAGAATGCCACGACCAGGGGCCCAGGGCTCCCTCCTCCGAGAGAGCCCTTCTTCAGCAGGTGGGTGCTCAGCTGGCTGAAGGGCGCGGCGGATATGGCGAGGTCCACGTGGACGTAGAACTCCAGCAGCGGCCCGCTGAGCGACAGCAGCATCGCCAGCTCCTGGTCGCGCGGATGTTGGCCGGCGCCGGGCGCCGCGCCCGAGACGCGCTGGATGGCCGATACTCCGCCACCAAGGCCTCGCGCACGCTGGAGCGTGTGAGAACCTTGAGATCCGGGCCTGAGGACTGAGGAGGGGGAAGTGGAAGAGGAGCGAGGAGGAGCGAGGAGCGAGGAGCGAGGAGCGAGGAGCGAGGAGCGAGGAGGGCGAGCGAGGAGGGGCGAGGAGCAAAGCGCCCAATATTCCCAAGGAGGATGAGCGAGTAGGGGCGGGTAGAAGCGGCACCTTTTGCACACCAGGCTCTCTCGCCCGGTTTCAGGCCCCAGGACCATGACAGATCGATCCGGCTTGAAACAGATGCAGCAAAAAGATGGGGTCCAGGACTCAGGTCGTGATTGTTCGCGACGTTGCGATTTGTTCGCAAGCAACGTCGGATCTCAGGGAATGCTCCCCTGCTGTCTGGTGAGGTTTCTGCGCTTTCGAGGGCCGACCCCATGCCAGGATCGCCTCCCAAGTAAAGAACGGCTCCCGAGATGCCCTTGAGGGGCCCCAGAGAAGCTCCAAGGTCCAAGGTGCGCCTTTGACTCGACCTCCTTCTCACCGCGCTGCTGAGCTTGCGCGGTGTCGTGGATTGCCGCAGGCAGCTGGACAACTCCTGAATGTCCCTCCCGAAGGTCTCGGGGCCCAGCTGCTCGTCGAGCTGCTCGTCGCTGAGCGCCTCCAGAAGAACCACCAAACGGCACACGCAGCAGCTCGCGGAGCTCCGCGCGGATTTCTTGGATCGGCGCTGGACCCCGTGCCCTGCGTGCAGAGCGCGCCGGCGGCGGCGATCGAGGCACCGCCATGGGGCCCAACGCAGATCCAAGAAGTCCGCACGGAGCTCCGACGGTCTAGGCGTGTGCAATGTGTTCCTGTTCGAGCGCCTCGTCCAAGTCGGAGTCCCTGTGGCTGTTGCTCAGGCCCTGCCTGAGGTCCTTGAACTTCTCGGCGATGCGCACCGTGGACTCGATGGGTGCCCCTCTGAGGGAGGGGAAGTGCTGGAGCAGCCTGCGTCCGAGGAGGTAGTCGTTCATCTTCAGCGACCTGTGGAGGAGCGTCTCTGGGTCGGACAACATGCGGGGCACGAACGTGGAAGGGTGTTGAGACAGGGGCGTCTCCATGGGCGTGCAGAACTGCTCCAGGGGATGGTCGCCGTGATCAGCAGCTTTGCCTGCCTCTACGCTGGCGCTGGCGCTAGCCGCACCCGCTGCGCTCGCATCGGGAGCGAAGCCTCGGTCGCCGCGCCGGCTCATCTCCTCGAAAAATTCCTCCAGGCACACCTCGCCGACTATCACGGCGCCGACCGCGTGCGCCCACTCCGCGGCGTTGTCCTCCGCGATGGACGTGAGGCCCGCCCGCCGCGTCGGCCGCAGCTGCATGGAGCCCTCCGCGGAGGTGAGCTGGGAGTGGGTGAAGAAGTCCTGGGGGAGCGCAGGGCTGCATTAGCGTGAGCTCGAGGAGGTCCGCGCGGAGCTGTTGGATCTGCGCCGGCCCCGACTCCCTGGCGTGCGGGGCGCGCCAGGGGCGGCGCCGGAGGCGCCACCAGGGTAGCCCCAGCGCCAATCCAGGAAATTCGCGCGGAGCTCCGAGGGTTCATGATTATGACGCTTTCCCTAGAAGCAACGCTTGCACTTAGGGGATCGTGCTCGCCGTCGCCGCCCCGTCGCCGCGTCGTCGCAGCACGTCGTCTAGGCGGGTTGTCAGTCTGGCAGTTCCGTGCTCGCCGTCGCCGCCCCGTCGCAGCCTCGTAGCCGCCCGTCATCTGTGCCTGGTTGTCGGTCTGGTGGCTCCGTGCTCGCCGTCGCCGCCCCGTAGCCGCCCGTCAGATGGGCCTGGTTGTCGGTCTGGTGGCTGCGTGCTCGCCGTCGCCGCCCTGTCGCTGTTGTCGCCACCCCGTCGCCGCCTCACATAGACTGCACCGCATTGATTCTCTTTTCTAAGAAGAGAATAGACTCTACCCCCCCCCCGCGTTATCGGTCCCCCTTTCGGGTATGTAAATCATATATGATTATGACCACATGTCCATCCTAAACATGAATTTACACTATCCCAGGGGGGCCGGGTTCCCCCCCCTGAGGTTCCCTTGTAAAAAACACTATGCGGTGACATATTTGGTCTAACATAGCACTTTTTCGCGAATCCCTTGCAAAAAACACGAAGTGCACACGCGCGCGTCGTCGCGCGCGCATGCCGAAATCCTTCAAAACCTTCGGTGCCGGAAGGATTTCGCAATCGAGTTTCCAAAGAACATACAACAACACTCTTAAGAAAACCATAGGTTTTTCCAGATTTTCACAAAATGCTATTAAACGGGCTTCGCGCGCGCGCATGTCGAAATCTGTCGAACGCCCTTGCGCGTGTGCCGTCGCGAGAATCCTCTGCCAAAAAATGAAACGAAGTGCAGACGCGCGCGTCGTCGCGCGCGTATGCCGAAATCCGTCAAAACCCATCGGTTTCGGAAGGAGTTCAAAATCGTGTGTCCAAAAAAACATACAAAACACCCAAGGTTTCGCAACACGGATTTTCAGCAAAAGCGTGCGCGCGCGCTCTTGCGTCGTCGTCGTTCGTCGTCGCCGTCCTCCCTCCTCCCGCGTCGTCTTCGTCGTCGCCTACGTCGTCCTCTGTCTTTCCTCGTGTTCGTCGTCGTCGTCCTCGTTGGCGTCGTGGTCGTTTCCGTCGTCGTTGTCGCAGTGGTCGTCCTTCCTCCTCTTTCCTCGTCGTCGTCGTCGTCCGTCGTCGGCGTCTCGTCGTCGTCCCTCCAATTTCGTCGCCGTCGTCGTCGTCGTTGTTGTCGTCGTCGTCGTCTTCCTTCCTCCCTCGTCGTTGTCGTCGTCGGCGTCGCCGTTCTTCCTCCTTCTTGGTCGTTCGCGTCGTCGCCGTCCTCCCTCCTCACTCGTCGTTGTCGTCGTTGTCGTCGTTGTCGCCGTCGTCGTCCTCCCTCCTCCCTCGTCGTCTTCGTTGGCGACGTCGTTGTCGTCGTCGTCGTCTTCGTCGTCGTCGTCTGCGTCGTCGTCGTCGTCGGCGTCGTCGGCGTTGTCATCGTCGTCGTCGTCGTCGGCGTCGGCGTCGTCGTCGGTGTCGTCGTCGTCGTGGTCGCGGTCATCGTCGAAGTCGTTGAAAACGTCGTAGGTGTCGTCGTCGTCGGTGGCGGCGGCGCCGTCGTCGTCGTTGTCGCTGTCGTCGTCGGCGTCGGTGTCGTGGCCAAGTGCCATCTGGTACCTACCGTCACGGTCTTGTCCTAAGAGGTATTGCGACCAAGTTGCGGGTGGGAGGGTGGGTTGTTTGCACGAGCAGTGGAGAGGACAGCTTCAAGACGGTCAAAGTGAATGGCACCGCATAGATTGCCCCGCATAGAGCACATATCTTCTCCTTTCAAAAGGAATAACAACATGTACCCCCCACCCCGCCGGGGCTAACGATACACATGTCGAGCTACAATGCACATATGATTCTGCCCTTAGTGGCCCCTGGATTGGATCACCGTTTCCGAACAAGTGTCTCTCGAAAATTGAAACGCCGAAACAACGGCGACCAGAAACGGCAAAAAAACGGCTCCAGGATTGAAGCTGGAACCGAACCAGTAAAACAATGCAACGGAACCGGAAACAGACGGCGTCGGAACCGGTAAAAAAACGGCAAAATGGAACCAATAAAGAAACGGCCCTGTCGTTTCCAAGGCCCACTGAAATTCTGCCCCCATCGCCCATCCGAAATTTGAATACATACCATTCCCGCCAGGCCGGAATTCGGTCCCCCCTCTCATCTTCGGCAAAAAACGGTAAGCGCGCAGCGCGCACTCGTTTCTCACAAATCATCAGTCTCAAAGAGTGCCTGGCACAAGAAAAAACGAAGTGCACACGCGCGCGTGTCGTCGCGCGGGCAAGCCAACATCAGTCGAACAACGATGGCTTTCACAAAAATCTGCGCCCGCGTTCTTGCGATCCCTGTTATATAAAGAAAGGGTTGTTCAACATGTTCATAAATTGTTACCAAGCGGGGCTCTCGCGTGCGCATGTCGAATTCGCTCGAACGCCGCTGCGCACGTACTGTCGCAAGAAGCCTTTGTTCCGAGAAGCTGGGGCGACGTGCGCACGCGCGCGTCGTCGCGCGCGCATGCCGACATCCTGCAAAACAATTGGTTTCGCAAGGGCTTCAAGGACGAATGTCCCGATAAAATAGAAACACACATGGTTTTGCGACATGTTTTATGTCTATATATATATACGCGTTGTCATCACACTCTGCCAAACAGGCCTCTCGCGCCGCATGTCGAACTCATTCGAACGCGTTTGCGCGCATGCTTGGGTGGGCACGACCCGTGTCCAATGAGTTCAGGCGGGCCACTCGCGCGCGTCGGCCGAGCGTGCATGTCGAACTCCATCACAAACGTTTATCGCCGACGCGAGGACATCGTCATCGTTATCGGCGGGCGTGTCAACATCGGCGCCGTCATTGGCCTTGCCGTCGTCATCGCCACCGTCGTCACCATCATCGCTACTCTCATAATCGTGTCTACCGTTGTCGGCGTCGCCATCATCCCGCGCCCGCCCAAGTCACCGACTCGCACTGGAATGCCCGCTGGGAAGCGCCCAACGGTCAGCGCCACCGCGGCCGCGTCGGTCACGCCAAACTAGCTGACCACTGTGCGCGCGAGCGTGCGCGGGCTAGCGCGGACGCATAGATGCACCCGCCAACGCCAAGCACTCATCGCAATCGCCGCCGCATGGGTTTTGCAAACCAAGTTGCGGGTAGGTGGGTGGAATGTTTGCAAGAGCATGGGACGTGTCAAGTCGTTTGCAAAAATCAGTTGCTCTACGCCGAGATTGCACCACGTGCGTTGCACCACGTGGATTGCACCAGGTGGTTTGCGCGGCATAGAGCTTCCTTTTCTATAAAAAAAATGGACTCTACCCCCCCCCCCGGGATATCGGCGTCCCTTTTTGTGCTGCGCTGTAAATATGATTCTGCCCCATCGTCCATCCGAACTATGAATTCGTAGAATCCCAGCCAGGCCGCATCGACACCCCACGCCATGCTCTGCAACAAAATACGACGCGCGCGCACTCGTTCATCAACAATCACCAGCGCGAAAGAATCCCTTGCCAACGAAAAAAACATACGAAGTGCACGCGCGCGAGTCGTCGCGCGCGCATGCCGAAATCTGCAAACAAAAACCCATGCGGTTCCAGAGGGAATTCAAAATCGAGCACCCAAAAAAATACACAAACGAACGGTTTCGCAACATCAGTTTTCAAAAAAGCTTGCGCTCGCGCTGTTGCAAATTATTGGGGAAACCATTGGTTTTTTTACATTTCAAACAATGTGATCAAACGGACTTCGAGCGAGCGCATGTCGAAATCGTTCGAGCGCCCTTGCGCGCGTGCCGTCGCGAGAGCCAATTGGCAAAACATGGGGCGAGGTGCACGCGCGCGCGCCGTCGCGCGCATGCGGGAACCTGTCATAAACCTTCGGTTTCGCAACGAGGTCAAGACCGAGTGCCCCGAAAGCATACACACATGGTTTTGCAACATCGTTTCTCTCTTCGCGCCGCGCGCCAGCAGCATTCGCACACCCGCGCGCGCGTGCTGGGGGGGGCACGAGCCGAATCAAACAAAAACATGCGGGCCACTCTCGCGTTTCGGCCCGCGCGCACGTCGAACTCTTCCCAGAGCCTTCACCGCCGACGCGAGGACGCCGTCATCGCTATTGGCACGATCAGCATCCGCGCCCGCAGCGGCCGCGCCTTCGTCGTTGTCGACATCGTCACCAGCAGCGCTAGTATCATCATCGCGTCTCCCGTAATCGACGTTGCCAGGATACGTCGCCCGCCCAAGTCGCCGACTCGCGGTGAAGCGCCTGCTGGAGCGCGCCCAAAAGTCAACGCCACCGCGGCCGCGTCGGCCACGCCGACTTAGCGGGCCGCTGCGAGCGCGCTTGGGTTGGCGCGGCCGCGAAGATGCACCAGCCAACGCCAAGCACGCATCGCAATCGTTACCGCATGGGTTTTGCAAGCCAAGTTGCGGGTGGGTGGGTGGGGCGTTTGCAAGAGCATGGGATGTGCCAACTCGGTCGTTAGAACCAATCGCACCGCATAGATTGCACCAAAGGCACTGCGCAACATAGATCGCATCACATCGATTCTCTTTACTGAAACAAAATAGACACTCCCCCAGGGTGATCGACCCCCCTTTTCGCAATGCAATGCACATGCGGTTCTGCCCTATCGTCCATCCAGAATATGGAGTCTGACCAACCCAGCCGAGCCGGCATCGACGCCCCCCCCCGCCGCCGACTGCGAAAAAATATGATGCACGCGCACTTGTTCATCGCAAAATATCAGATTTCAATCATCCTTGGCAAAAAACGGAACGAAGTGCACACGCGCGCGTCGTCGCGCGCGCATGCCGTAAACCTTCAAAACCTGCGGTGTTGGAAGA